GATCTTATCGGTTAACTGGCACGTAGTCTTCCTGTAGTGGTGATCATAGTCAACCGCGACTCGACGCCACACTACAAGTGTATACCTACTAGTTTTGCTATTATGATTTTAAGCGGACAAATAAATGAAGGGAGGAAGAAGAAGCTAAATAGTAAATCAGATTCGTCTCCACATTTTAGCAATGAATAAAATAATATAGTTCAAGAGAATTGGAAAAAATTTCATGTGTTAGTGATATGGCGTGTAATGGCTCAACCAATCGTAATGATAATGACATACGAAATTGATTTTCTTTCCAATCGTATGTGGCATGCATTTACACCTTAAGGAGGAATATAAATGATCAATTTTATAATATGGTTAAATCTGTTCACACAGTAATTTGCTGAATTTTCCTCGTTAAGCATTTGCTTACTTACTTACTTGCTTACTTACGCCTATTACAACTCGTGGAGGAGCATAGGCTGCCTACCAGCATTATCCATCCAACTCTGTCCTGGAAAGTCCTTTCCAGTTGCCATTCGCTCTTTCGGTGTCTGCTTCTGATTCTCGACGCAGCGTATTCTTTGGCCTTCTGTCTTTCCATTTCCCTTCAGGATTCCAAGTTAGCACTTGCTTCATGATGAAGTTTGATCATTTCCGTAATGTATGTTCTATCCACTTCCAGTATGTTTTCCTAGTTTCCTCTTCAGCTGTAGAGGAAAATATTTAGATGGTGAGTATCCATTATAATGATATAAATATAATTCATCGAACGTTTTATGTGCTTTACATTCCTCAACGGTTTCATACGAAAATGTATGGCTTATGTGTTGGCGGCTTTATTAACGCAGATCAAAATATATTGAAGATGAAACAGGTATTCAGTGTTTGACAACGCTTTTACCAGCAACACCTTCTAATATAATTTGTACCCACCGAGAGAAATCAAAAGACAGAGTCGAGGAGATCGGACGAGTGTATTTGGCGATTACCAATATATCGGAATTCTCTGACCTAATCTGGCTAGCGATTACGGTTGATGTTGAGCATGGCGTTACCACACGTGATCTGTTGCGAATGCCTGACCGAGCGCCTTCAGCTAGATGAGTCCACTAAAACATATGGTCAGCATCCAATGTCGAAAACGTACAGGGCTATTTATTTTGGGGATTTATTTACCGCTACAATATAAATATATGTCTTAAAACATTTTTGAAAGACTATTATATCCGGTTAAACTAAATTTATTTTGTTTCAGAAATTTTTCATTACGGATAAGTAAATATGATGGCTCATTAAACTGAAATTAATCTGTTAATCAATGAGATGTCTCAGAGGGGTTGATTTGAACCATCGTAAAGCAATGAATCGTAAAAAAATTACATCGCACAGCTTCTTCTACATGTATTAAGCCAGTGTGCTCATATCAAGGAAATTAGATATATGATAATTGTAAGAGCGTTTTTGAATATTCGTGAGTGAATGTGTGAAATTCCCTCTACCTACACGTTTCATGTAAGGTTAGCACATTGTCTCACTCTTAAACGTAGAGTAGTTATTTGTGACACCTATGTATTCATCTTCTGTTTATACTTAGGATACGGACGAAACTGCCACTCATTCTACTTACAGGTTTGGTTTTTTGTGTATTGTTTCATTGATTATTCTTTAGACGCTATGTAAATTTTGTTTTAATTTCCAATGAATTGTGCTGAGGCTACATTAATTCCTTTGGCTTTTTTGTGCCGATTGAATTAAACTACCGTGAAACGGTAAGATAATCATGTTAAGTGGTTAGAGGTGCACCTTGTATTCAACTTGAAACAAATTTATATGCCTTACAGGCTTAGTTACTTTATGTTATCTAGATTTTGATTTCACTACACTTTCTTAGATAATTCTCTCCTGGATATATCATGATGATGTCATTCTTTGGTCTGTTTTGTATAGTTCATATCCATAATCTTTATGGTTGGAACCTTACCTAATCGAGCTATAATGTTTTGGATTTATCTGTAGAAAAGAACAGATGTCCAAGATTTTACTAGAGGCCGAGAGAATTCAAACAGCATCAGTTTGAACACAATAATACTACGGATTAATATTGGTCAAATGGGGATTCACTCACTTGGCATACATATCGTCATTTTCGCAGGACCGGAATCGTGTTATTACATGAAGAATTAAAATCAAATTAACCAGTTGATTTACAATAACTTATTACTAGCCTATCGAATATCAGATATCTTTGCAGTGGCTATACATAGCTACACCATATGTAAGTGTTCGAAAATGCAAATCATATGTGTCTTAGATATCAGTCGTTCGCGTATCATTTAAAAATTTTAAAAGTCTACTGCCCTACTCATTACCAACCACTTCTGTCGTCAAATTGTAGTGCTCAAGCTGTTAATGATTGTTCTTCCGTAAAGAGGTTCAGTTTTCTGATGCCTACTCTTCCACGCTGGTCTATTCATTTGCGCCGCATCTCACTGACTAGTGCGTACATATATAGTGGCTAAGGCGAAATACATCGGATACATACTGTAACGGAAAGAAAACGCTGAAAATCCCTCCACAGCATGATTAACCCACAGGATTGGTGGTAGTTTGTAATTATTATCAATATGACAATATCCTCCGTAGTCGACTATCTTCTGATTCAGCACTCGAAGGATAAGTTTCCGGACGCTGTTCTGGATACCGGTTCTCAGTTGCTAGCACAAAAGCCGTTAAGGTTCCTTCATCAGTGTTCGATAGGGAATTGCTGTAAGCAGTCAAGCCTCTCATTGTTCTTACGAAGAAAGGTGAGCTTTCCTCTGTATTTCGACTTTGTGAATTCGTTTTTAATACCAGTGGTTAACTTCATAATGACTGAATAATAATAATGCCAAGTAAAAGTTAATCCTGTTTACTTCATGTGAAGTCTGTAGAGAAATGACGTTTATACAACGTAGATAACAAAAGTGTGCCAAGTATTGTGTTTCGGATACGTACATTGGACGTACTAATGATGAACGTCAGGCAAGCAAATGGAAGATGCGTCAATTACATGAAGTTTTTGAGGTCAGTAGTTTACGAACTCAGATAATAATGGTATGACAGCTATTATAAGTCATGTAAAAAGTACAGGAAGAGGATAGACATTATTACTACCATACATACATATATAAGGCCCGTTTAGGTCCATAAGTACGCAACTGACAAGGCAAAATCTGTGTTTGATTTAACAAATGTAAGAATCATTCAGATAAATCAATGTAATTGGGTTTCGTGCGATTACTGAGTCGTCGGCTTACAGTTATATAACTCTGCTTTCCCAGAACCTAACGTATCTTCAGACTGAACACTAACTTCTACGCTCAAGGGGTATTCTGAGAACGTGTATAAATATGCAACGAAGAGAGAAATACTTTGAGTACATTTAGTGACACTTTAGGGATACCTGTGAGAATGTAAGTAAAAATGTTAGTATGTGGTTAATAGCAACTCAATAATTGTATAAAAATATAACTTTAATTTGTGGCACGAAATTACCTGCAAAAAACATATTACAATGAATAACAAGGAATACTGTGAAAGCCAGGTGTAATAGATCTTTCATAGTTCATTTATCCTTTAGTATAATAGGGAACGTACGGTAGGCTGTGTTGATTGACGATTTGTGATGTCGAAGAAACGGAAGTATACCGAATATGTATGAGCATGTTTCAAAGAGTCTCAAGTTCAGTGCTTAGAAATTATTGCAGTGAAAATGTTATTAGGTTTAAATATGAGAAAATTTGAGAATCTGGTTTATGCATATGAATGTGACGAATGAATATTAGGTATATATCAAAAACGTAAGTTATTACTTGTGTGAGCGCAACTTTAAACTGAACTCTAGCAGATTGTTTCTAAACATTGTCAGCGTCGAGTTAGTTACCTCTATGCACATTTAATGGCGCGTGAACTTCTCCTTCCCTCTTTTGAGGCTCCTTTGCTTGGTAAACTTGTATTTGGGTTTGAATGCTCTGCAGTCAACGCTGTTTGTGTGATAATGATAGGACTTCGGAATAATCGATTATTCATATTACATTTTTCGATTATTCTATATACGTTGTTTGATTAAAATTTTTAATCTTATAAAGTTTTTGCAGAAGTGTACATACTTCCAACTTATTTAATGTCACAGTAAAGCTATACTTCTCAATAAATTGCCAGCCTTACTTTCATGACCTAGTGCTTAGAAGACTGAAAAAAAGATTAACCGGAATTTGTAGTATATGGAAGCGTAAATGGTGAGATAATAAAAAACAATGAGCAATTAGACTGCTACAGTCATTCGTTAGGTATCTTTGGCCTATACGGAATATGATAAGTAATTCAAGGACTTTTGAGGTTGCACCAGGCTCAGAATGGTAAACAGATTTTATTAAGATTTATTTCACTTCACTGATCTTATAGAGCTGTCTTAGAAATTCACCACTTTATCTGGTGAGCATTCATTTTAGTAAAACGGTTTGATAACATGGCGTGTTGAGTTGAGTGCTTTCTATCTAGTTACCAAACAAATGATCGGAATTTTAACCCTGTCTTACATATATTCGCTTCATCTGTAAGATAAGCAAATAAGGAGCGTTTGTTGTGGTTACGCAATTATTTACCAAGGGTATGATTAGTCGTCGTCATGTCAGATGTTGATTTTATTTCCCACAAGGACTTACTCAGCATTTTAGAAAGCACCCGAAGTCATCGAAACTTTATGAAGCTGAAGTATAATGACACTGTTCATATTATTAGTTAAAAATCTCACGAATATGTCAGTGTGAATGTTACAAAGCTACAAAACATCACATACGAATGATTTGAGCAATGTCACACTCATTCTATTGGGATTAAAAGTGCTCAGTGTCGACACGTTTTGAATCAGAGCTAACAAAAAAGTATTAAAGAGGTACTGGGACGTTTGAAGTAATGAATGATAGTCTATTTTTATTGAAACTCGTACGTTATACTCACTGAAGGTCATATGTACTCGTTGCTACAGCGGTAAAACCAGACTGGATATTTAGTCTCATTTTCAAAAGTTGCCTGTAGGTTTAATTATGTAATGTTGTTCATCTGAAGCCTAGTATTTTATTCGCTGATACTCTATTAAGCGCTTAGTTTTTAGTGCTTTAAATGGCATGAAACTCCCAAAGATTAGCTGTTCAAGATAATTTAGACTAGTCAAATATTAATTGCGAGCTCCCAAATAATAATAGGCATCAAAAATCAATTGGCTATCAGAGTTGCACGATCACTTATCTGATATTGAAAGAAGCTTTTATACCCGTCGTTTAGTATGAAGAAATAAATATATATGTATATATGATCACTCAAATGCATATATGCAATGTTGTTTGAAGACTATGTTCACAGGTGGCTATCGAATATTAGTTCAGCAATTTACCAGTACACTGTCCTGGAACTGACGTTAAAAAGAATGAGGTTGAAATGCCGGGTTTCGAACTATCTAATCCCCATACTAAGGTGTGCACATTTAGATATCTAATCATTTTGATGAGATTCCGTTTAGCTGACTCTTGGTTGAATATATGTAGCTACTGTAGCTTATTTATAATAGAATTATATTCCTGTTAAGTAGAAATAAGAAGGTTTAGGGATAACAGTGTTTAAGGTGGCCATTGTATGAAATGATTTGTATTCTGAACTTTAGCTTTTATGTGTCATGAGTTTGATCTGTGAAGCTATCTTAACCTTTTGTTTTCGAGTTGTTTCTGTTACATGTCAAATGAAAGCAACTGACGACGTTATCATGGAAAACATCCCTATTTTCGTCACAAACTTTTATAGTATGTTTCACTGAACTTGATAATGGAATAAATAGGTTATCTTAAATGTACGTTCTACTCGCCTTTAACTTTCTTAACATAAAAAGAAAAAGAACAGTAGTATTCATTTATTTCACTCTAAGTTGTGAATTTAATTATTATTGTCATACAGTCTTGTTGACATTGATGTCGGAGCTAAAATTTCGTGTTCCTATGCTATTGATTAGAAGTTCTTAGTTAACAACAAATAATCATGTTCCTTATTCTACTAGCAAATAATTTGCAAATGGAGTTAATGACAGAACGTTATTTTCAAAAACCACTACGACTGAGTCATAGTGCATCAAATTTACCAGATATTTTGCAATATGCAAGATCAGGATCTTCAGGAAGATTTGATGATATAACAGAAGGCAGTTATCCAGCTATTTATACGCACAGGAATATCAGATCATTTGCACCCTGGCGCCCCAAGTCTCATTTTTCCCCGGACCGATTATCTTATTTTAATGATGACAAGTCAGCAAAATCACTGGGTCCCATTGTCAACGTTACTGGAGATTCGCTAGGTTTACATGAACTGGAGGGTTTAAGAATTCCTTCTATATACTCAGCTGCACGCAACGCTTTATACACAAGATATACGCCTGCCGACTGGACTAAGGGTAACTTTACTCGGCTGTCAAACTCAGAGCAGGCAATGAAGAGAGCTGAACATATAAGAGGAAATGGAGAACGTTTGGGAGTTGAAGCAGATGACAGAATTAAACGAGCACAACAGGAAGTTGGCAGACTACTTGGTGAGTTTCAGTATGGTTATATGCGATTTTTTTCGTTTATCATTGATGAACATACACTCTTTCATAGTATTTCTCGTTTGTCGGGAATCTCATGGAGGTGTAAAGTACACAGTCGACTCAGAAATATGGATTTGTTTTTTAATATTGACTTTGATTCATAAAGCATCTATCAGGCTACCGTTCCGTTAAGTTCCGTTAAGTTTTCCTACCATAAAAAGGTTCACATTGGTTAGTGTTGCTTCTTTTTTAAACTACAAAGAAGTGCCTTAAAAAATGAATGTCAAACAAAACGCCATATAATATTGCTTTAATTTGGTCAGATTCTTAGTTTAAATATTTGTATGACATATAAAGTTTCAGTGCCTTAAGGCCGTTGTGATTTACTGTTGGAATACATAAATTAATACGATTTGTTTGTTTGTTTAACTTTGTTGGAGTTTAAGTCTCGTCTTAAATATTACCTCTCGTTTTGCTGTATTTATTTATCACATAAATATAGTGGCACGGTGGGAAACAAAACAGTGCATAATCTAATCAGCGTTTTTTCGGCGAGATTGTTTTCTACAGGACGGGGTTACCGGCCCTCATTCTTTAACCGGGATTGGGACCGGAAGTAACTCTAGAAGAGCTACAGGTGGAGTTACAAAAGAGCACACTATACGAAATAAAATGGTAAAATTATCGCTTTATTAAACTGAGCACCTCTTTGCCTTTGGCTAAACAACCCCGTAGAGTCTGCAGATTGTTCAGTATGTCAACTTCTGGATCCCTATGTAAAAACCATGTCCAAACCAATTAAGCTATTATTTTAAGATCTTGACACTGAATAAATTATTATTACTGGATCCAAACCAATATTCACAGAAATATGAATGACTGCCGTGGTGTTGCCAACGGACAAGTTGAACTTTTTAGGGAATACTAAGGCAGAGAATAGAGAGTCACTGGACATTTTTAACTGGAAGAGGTGATGTTTTACGAGGAAAGATCAGAATTTATTTCACTGATTGCTTCTCTTGACGTCTTTTAATGTGACTAGCGTTTTGATAGCACTAAGGATGGGTGATATCGCCAACATCATTCCGGTTATTTTGAGCTTGGTAATCATCATTTTGCGATGTGATTCGGTTTTAATAAATCAACTTGAGTTGAGCACATCTTGTACTAAACATACGTGTCTTAATTGAATCAACTGTAGTTCACAAGCGAAGGGTTTCACAAAATTTTTTCTCATGAACATTCATTAATAGCGGGTAATGGGCGTCTTTGTCTTAGTCACCATTTTCTAGTTTAACCATTTGCAAGAGTGACGTTTTACTTATTTGATCAATAAGACGTAAGTATCTAGCTGCATAAATGCCGGTATAATTATTCTTTATTAAAATCAGGTGTCTAAAAAATAATTTATATCAATTTTTGTTGTCACGTAACAAGTACCAGGGAGTAATTGATGTTCCCACAGAAATTTTAATTGGCTGGCTGTCTCCTTCAAAAGTTCATTGTCATTTACTTATCCACTTATTTTTCATAACTATATTTTGACAACAGTGGCCAGTTGTTGATGGTAATCACGACTTTTTATTATTGACTAAATGCTTTGAAATCAATCGGCTTGTATACTTTCATTAAAATGTCACATATTATCTACATTAGTTATGTTAAGATAATATGTTTTTGATAGCCGGTCATATAATTTTCATTCTGGTTGTAAGGTGTTAGTCTATGAAAAAGCAAATTAAATGAAACGGAATAGTGGTTAGATTAAGATATTGTAACGTTCATTAGCGGTGACACGAACTGGTCAAACTGACATTCAGAAGAATATGTTTCCTTGCTAGAGACTAGGAAATGAAAACAAACTTGTAAAGGTGTGTGTGGTATAAATTGAAACTTGTTGGAATATCTCAGACCCACTACAAATCAACTTGCATCTGTTTCTACACCATAATAAAAGAACACAAATGAGAAGCATATTTCTCTTACATCTGTTTCTGTCTAAAGAGTCAGAAATTTCCCTCAAGTTTATTTCATTGTTGCATTGTGATTAGTTTCCCTTGTTTCTATAATTATGAAAAATAAAGCAATTTTTCGGATACGTTCATAACATTATTTTACTTGTCGAACTTGTTCTATCTGAAACTTATTCACTGAATGCCAACGCATCTTAGTGAGCCTAACATTTCAGTTTAACGCCATTGTTATGAAGGGATTAACGGTGATGGTAGCATTCCGGCTATTAAGGGGGTTGTTCAAACTCGATCGGACAAAACCTGAGTGGTTTTCTTGTTTCAAGGCTCACAAACCTACTGCGTGGATTTTATTTCTTGGGGAAATCGGTGTTCTTGGGTTTTGGCGTATGGACGTCTTACCAAGAGCAAGTATACATTACATACCTACTGGTAATACATTAGTTTTCACCCATTCATCCCATGGCATAGATATAGGCATATTTACTCACTTGAGAGGGCAGATGGTCATCAATCCCTTCAAATGTATTTGCTGCAACTGACTACCTCTTACAAATTAGATGCATACCACTAGTACATGGAGTTTTGGTCATCCATCTCATGGCATACACATAATCTTGAGTGGTCTTAGAGAGGCCTGATGGTCATCTTTTCTCAGTATTTGCTAATATTTCTTTTTTTGTCTTCGACCTGTTGGTTTAGGCCTCTGTTCTCACTAGATATACAGCTAACATTGCAGTCTGGCACATACCTTATGTGCATACCTATATACACAATTACACATGCTGAGACTCATGAAATTCATTTGTACAAGCATACTCATCAGGCGGCACGTAAGATTTTAGAGCATCGGGGTTGAAGCCTCAAGTTGAGTGGTGAATTAGTCTGACCGTCCAGTTTTGTCAGTAAATTTGCCTCTATCACCCCAACAGTGCCAGGAGGAGGCCTTGTGTCCGAGTTTGCTGTCAAGGTTTTAATACAATGATATTGTCAAATATGTTTATTTTCTTTTTCTAACATTAGGTCAAAGAATTAATGATATCAATTATATGAAACATGAATTAAATAACGAAATTGATGCACTTATTAATGAAATGAATAAGTTAAATGAATCTAAACGAATTGCTGAAAAAGCATTCGCCGAAATTGAAAATCCATTACATATTACACAAGAATGTTTATATCATCGGGAAAAACGTCAATCTACTGACCTTGTACATGATCAACCAGAAAAAGCACTTTTAAAAGTAAATAATTTATTTGTTATTAGTGTATTATGTTAGTTTTAAATGTAATTTTATTATGAATTATCTATAAATTTCTGGCTTAGTTACCAAAAGTTTAGAATGTAGCTGTAATGAATCATACCCTTACACGTGTTTAATTTGTATTCAAAGTAATTGAACTGTACTTTTACCTATTACTAAGGATAGTTTTAACATTTATGGTTTGTATAATGTTATAATAGCATGACTACTGAGATTAAAATCTATTCCTGATGATATGGTTTCGCAATTTGAGTTAAACGTCACCTCAGTAGTATGAAGGTAGAGTTCTTGCTAAATGGTCTGAAGGTCCTGAGTATCATATCTGTAAAAGTCTTAGTTGAACACTACTTAGTCATTCTTAGCTAGGATGAAAAAGCAGTTGATTATTCTATGACATCCAATGGAAGTCTGATCAAAATCAGCGGTGATATATATATACTTAGTGTAATATGAAATTTTATAACCTAATCGACACTGATATACAAATTTTGTGCTATTATTAAAATGTTTAAAGTCTAAAAACCATTGGGATTGGAAAGTGGCCGGGTATGTACTTTAGAACTCATATTTCGTCCTCTTTGGGACTAGTCATCTGGATGTCCCTACATATGAGTGTTCATATTCGCACAGAGACTGTCCCCTAGTAACCTTTGCATCAAACGCTATTGCATTATCCACTTGTCTAACTGTACCTGTACAACGTGTATGAATTTTACTTTCAATAGTTTGTACTTACTCGTCGATATTGTTGAAGACTGAAACTGATCAATCTTTATTTTCATATATATGTAACCCGTCGGAATTCCTTCGGTGCTATCATTTAGTAAAAATCTAATTAAAGTTCAACATCATGGGAATTCACAGAGATTACATATATGAAAGTAAAAACAGATCAATTACAGTCCATAACATTAATAACAAGAACATACAAACCGTCATATATAAAACTATTAATTGTAACTTTTTGTACTAAAGGAACGAGAACATTATAGTAGTGTATATATGATCAGTTCTATTCAATATTAATAATAAGATTTTCTTATTTATAATAGTAGACAATTATACTTACATTGTCAATAATTTACCTTATGAGGCTATATAAGTTTATCGTTTCTGTTTTTTCTATCGAATCCAAAATCAGTTAACAAAGAAGTTGTTTAATATTCGTTATGTAACTTTTTTTTTTAGAACATAAATTAGTGCAATTTTTATTCTATTATTATTACTATTATTGTATTGTGAATTATGATTTACGGTTTAATATAAATATATAAATCTACTTATTGGTGAATTTCTCTTCAATTTTCTTCAATCACTTCTGATTAATTAAAACTATTATTGTTAGTGTTACTTTAGTTATGTCTTGGTTTACAAGGGTAGTAATAGGTTTATTTCTCTTTTTGAATTGTTTGGATCATTTTTTTCGTCATTAGTTTTCTCTAGTTAATGTTTACTCTATCATGTAGCCTTCCCTTACTAAATTCTCATTTTATGTACATTATAACCAAACTTTCACTGATAAATAAAATGTCCAAATCCTGTCCAATTATTATGTAATCCATCTTCTCAGTCTATTAATTCCAGGAATCTTGTATTAATCTTTCATTATCTCTAAGATGATCACACAATCTATCATACCTGTCTCTGAAACTCACTTGATTATTGCATCACCCAAGACTCATGTATTTTTTTCTAGCACCAAATGACCTTCGACCTGTTTTTGCATATATATATATATAGCCTTTGTCATTCCAATTACTTTCATTCACCTGTGTCAATATCTTAGCTCCAAGTTGCTACACCTCATTAGCACAACAAGATGAATAACAAATTCATAGAAGTAGTTAATTCAACGGTAGTAATATATAAAAGAAAAATTGTGTATAAGAATATAATACAGGAAAAAAGAATTAGTTCGTAGAAAGAAAGGCATAAAGCAATTCTCATCTCACAGTTTAAGGAAAGATAGAGAATGTATACACCTACACTATCAGGGTTGATTCTGAGCCATGTTACATTGAGTAGTTTAGTTTAGACAGAAATACTTACATTTATCCTACTTGTAAAGGATAGAATCATTCACATAACGTTAGACAATAGCTTTTCATTGGAACTTTAGGAAATCCCTCTTGAAGTTAGTCACTATTGAGCACATGATGATTATAATCAATAAGGGGTTTTGTGGATATTATATTAATTTTATTAATTTAATTCATGTGTCATTAGATGAAAAAGTTGTTCATTGCTTTCAACCATTTATTACTGTATAATTAAAGCCAATCCAAGATTTAATTGAGAATAATATTGTTCACCCAATAAACACTATACTTAACTCTGTTAATGTTCACTTTATTTGTTATTTACCAAGAAAACAAAAGTGCAATTATTAACACATACATTCTGGAAGTTCATTAATTCATTCATTATATTATTATTATTATCGTTATTAATACATTTTCAAATAATTTTATCAACCCCCCCCAGTAACATTGAATGGAATAACAACCATATCTTTTAATAAATTCAATTGTTTGTTTGTTTGTTTTATTTTCACCTCAGCATTCTTTTATAATCGTACATTTATGCAATAGAATATCAATAAGGATAAGTATTTCTAATCATACTATTAGTATATAATAATAATAATAATAATAATAATGATTAATTAATAAACAATATCATTATTGTACATTTATTTGAGGTATATTCAATGTATAGTTATGGGGTTTCACCTTAATTATTTAATTAAGTTATTAATTAATATTGTCATTGAAATTATCCTTGACCTTATTCTATGTTAGGATAATGTTCATTCATCAAAGAAAATGAATTGTTTCCTTTCTTCTACGGAAATTTATTATGCAAAATAGTGATAAAATAGTAATAATAATAGTAATAAAACATTAAATAAATATAAATATTTTAATAGTTGAATCAACTGAAGTTAGACCACCATGGAAAACCTAGATGCATTGGACGACTGTTTCATCCTAGTATGGGACGCCCCAGCAGTGCGCATCCACGATCCCACCTCGCAAGATTCGAATCCAGAACTTATTAGTCTCGTGGGTGAACGTTTAACCTCTAGACCACTGAGCCGGCATCCATGAATTCAACTATTAAATTACTATGATATCCAACAAAACCCCTCTGAAAATATGAATATAATCCGTATGGTTACAAATTTGTGAAGATTGTTGAACTGGAGACTGACTGTCACTAGATAATGACAGAAAACAAGAGAAGAATAGACAGGTGTTTTATACTGTCATTGATCTATCTAGTTGTAACGATTTCTAAACTTGGCAGAGATTAATTCCATGACCTTTAAATTGGGTGATGAAAATCTAATATCCAGGCCATTGAGTTGACATCCAGTAGTTTACATTTAGAAATTCAGTCACTCCTCAACATTGCAAAAGTACCTCATCTGGTTATACTGATGGTAATCATGTTTTCACTTGTTACCAATTCGGAAAGGCAGTGACCAGGGTTACAGTGATATGCTGTCGCCAGTTTAAATGAGTCTGCCAGTTACCTACCAATCACGTTAGATGATGGTCACGAAATATAGCGAAATGACTGAAGTTAGAGGTAGACGCCACCTGATACCAGCTCAGTGATTAGAGGGGTGAATCCCCACTCCTAGATGTGAAGGTCTGTGTAATCCTGGGTGTGGTCGTGGATACACATAGCTGAGAGGCTCTATACCGGAATCAAATAACTGTCCAGTAAATACTGGTTTTCAGTGGTTGTTTAGATGCAGTCAGTTCATGATTGACACTGCAAAATGTATTTCATTTAGGTTTTGGCTTAGTGGTTAAAATACTTGATTTCTTCGCTGATGAGTTTCAAGGTAAAACCCTGGTCTTCTTACTTCCGTTTGGGTAACCATGTAATTTCACTAGTTTTTATGTACATAATGTGCTACAAGACGGGATAATTTAACTCATACGTGAAAATATTGACTTCCGAAGTTTAACTACCAGAAAATTTACCATCGTAAAATCTTTTTCTTTGGATTCCAGCCAAAGTCTGAGTTATTCTTGAGCTTGTCACTCCTACAATCAGCGAACGGTGTCTTTTCTAACAGAAACTACAGACCACTTCATATTGAGTCTATTTTATGGTATTAAATGCTTTTCAATTGTGAATTTGTATTTTGCTTTAAGTAGTCGAGTCCTTTTATAGTCTAACACCTGGAACCTTATTCTATAAACTTTTATAAGGGTAAATTCTGTGACTTCTTGAGAAATTAGTTCGTTAATTAGGCCTTATATTAGGCCTGCCTCATTCTGAAAAAGATTTCTCGGTTTGAATGGCCCAAGCATTCAGAAACCTTTAAATGGAAGTTAAAAATATTACCCGACATTTTTCATCAATATCCATCTATCAAATAAACTTTTCGTGTATTTATTACCTAGTTATTTAACACATAAATATTGACATATATGGGCACAGAAATATATGCTCAGCATACAATAAGAAAATGTGATTGTAAAGAGATAAAGAAAGGAAGGTGAATATAACAGAAAGTATATAAATAAGTAAAGATGAATGAACATGAACAATAAATAATAGGAGAGTTAGTTCATTTGAGAAAAATACAACCAAAAAGATTTTTTTTCACCTAAAGTAGTTCCTCCCACTCGTAAGAAATAAGATAAAATATAACAGTAGGACCGGCACTGGTTGCTATTCTAAGCCTTATTTGATAACGTTTCATTTCACTTTGTTACAATGTCTTTAGGATTCCAACCAGAGCGCCATGTAGGAACAGAAGATGCCAGTCCTATTTAGATTCCTTTCATACTCAGATACCATAACAGAAATTGAACATCTTTCCGCTTTTTCCAACCAGTTCAAACGTTGGCAAATAATGCGCGGTGGGGAACTCTCCGGGAATACATGAATAGCAGATGTCAAAAACCACCGAAAGCTGAATTATCATCACTGTATCTGAAAACATCTTGCTAAGC